GGGCACACTGCTGGCTCATATTCAGCCGCCTGTCGACCAACACCCCCAGGTCCTTTTCTGCTGGGCAGCTTCCCAGCCCCTCTTCCTGATGCCTGTAGCGTTGCATGGGGTTGTTGTGACCCCAGGGCAGGACCCAGCCCTTGGCCTTGTTGAACCTCACACCATTGGCCTGGGCCCATGGATCCAGCCTGGCCAGGTCCCTCTGCAGAGCCCTCCTCCCCTCCAGCAGATCCACACTCCCACCCAGCTCAGTGTCATCTGCAAACTGACTGAGGGTGCCCTCGATCCCCTCATCCAGATCATTGATAAAGATGTTAAAAAGAGCTGGATAAAGTTGATAAAGATATTAAACAGACATCTTCCAAGCTAAACAGTCCCAGCCCGCTCAGCCTCTTCTTATATGACAGCCACTCCAACCCCTTCATCATCTCTGTGGCCCTTATGGTCCTGGGAAGGGAGTAGGTTAGCGCAGCAAAGGCCAAGACGCCCCCAGCGATGGCAGAGCTGGGGATTTATTGGCCCCCAGGCCAAGCAGGGTCTGTCCACCAGCCCTTCCGGGGGTTTTTAAGCAAATCCCAGCAGGTTACAGCCTTCATGTCCTTTCTTCTCCCTGGAGCAGAGCTTTTTGGGCTGGCTCCAGCAGAACACCACACGTGGCTGGCTGCGCAGGGCATGGCCAGCATGCAGCCCCATGCTAACGCTGCATGGCGTGTCGCAGTGCACAGGGCGTCCCAGATGGGGGACTTTACTGCATTGCTGGTAGCTTAGCCTTCTTCCACCTGCCTGGGGGCTGGACAAGCCCTGGAAGGGAGCAGTGTTTCTCCCAAAGCACCACACCACACTGTCGGCTGTAGGCAGCAAAGGACGTGGGTCCCAGCTGGCCCATATGACTGTCAGCAAGAGCACCCGAGAGGTGGAAGTGGCCCAGCCATCTTATACGTTTGGTTTGGTTTCTTTTCCGCCTTGAATAACAGTTGGAAATAGAAAGAGCCCAGTGCCCCAGTGGCCAGAGCCACAAATTCTGTCCACTCACCTACGTGGGTGTCCTCCTTGCCCTGCTGAAACCTTGCCCCATCCCCGCAGCACACCACCGCCTTCCAAGATAAGCTACGCCTTGGCTGTAGAGAGATCAGAGCAGGGAAGCAGCCTTCTGTCAGGGCAGGCAGGGAGCTGCAGGTTGGGAAAAAATGACTCTGCTCCTGGAACTGCAAGGAATAATCTCATTATTTATCTGGGAAAAAAAAAACCCAACCAGATTAATTTAGCAATCTATTGCCCAGCCCCTTGCTCTGAATCGTTGAAGACCTCTGCCCCATGGGCACTGCCAGATCACCTGGAATTGCAGGACTGCCCTTTTAACTGGAATAAACATCAAAAAGAGAGTCTTGTTTTTTTGAACAGCACTCACTGGAAACATTCACTGCAGTTTGCATCCTGCTTGGTTTTTTTTTATTTGAGAGCTGGGGAGGAGGACAACCATCGCAAGAGCCAGCTGTTTGAAAGGAGGCAGGGGACTCCAACTTTTCCCTCCAGGACTTAATGTCTCCTCCAGCCCGCGGGCAGGAACCACACAGCTTCATGGGGTCAATTCCCCAGGAGCCACTCTCACAGTGCACGGGGAAAAACACAGCACCACAGAGCCTCTTTGGTGGCAACGTGCTTGCTATTTCAAAGGAGACAGCGTGCCAGCACCATGTTTGGCAGCCAAATCTGTGTCAGCGCTTAAAACATCGCCCTCTTGTACGGACGTGCTTGTGCTCAGCAGCACCAACGACTGTTGCAGCTACTTGCTCGTCTCATCAGATCTGCAGCCCGTGGGAGGGTGTCTGTGTCACGGTTACATTATCCACGCGCTCCAGCTTTGGAAAGACGTTCCTTTTCCCCGTTTACTGCTGTTTTCCTTTTAAAGGGGTGCACATGGATTCCGAAGCACTTTGTGGTATTGGTTTTTGCCTGCTGGTCTCAGGGTAGTGACCCACAGATCATCAGCACAAAATAACTCATCAGCCAACATACCCTCCTCTCGGATGGCATCAGAGCAGCTGCCCAGGTTGTGACACCAAGAGCACCCACCAGCCAGAACGACCCCACACAGACGCTGCCACTGTGGAGCGCCACAAGCTCCAATCATCCCTCGTGTGAGAAATGACTTAAATCTTGATTTTTAAGGGGCTGTCGTTTGGGAATCTCTGGTTTGAGCAGCCTCAGAGTTGGACCTCTCACCTTATGCCAGGCTTGTATGAAAGCATGTTTCCAAGGCGTTCACCCAGGCGCTTAGAAATGATTGGAACAGCAAAGTAGTCTGCGTTGAACCGCAGCGAAGCAACAGCCTCCTTGTGATCGTTGATGTGTTCCTTGCAGGGCTGCCAGGCACAGGCGTACGGGCTTGTTCTCCGAGGACCACTCCTAGGGTGACAGCTGGGGCCCCATTTCATACTGAGACCAAAGCATGCTCCAGGCAGTCTCCAAAATTTAATTTAATGCTGGCTCTCAACCTTGGCTACTGTATTCCTCAGAGCTGAGTGAGGAGAGGGGTGGTGACTCCGGAGGCCTCGTACAGCGTGAGGGTGATGGAAGCGTGGAGCTAGGGGACGAGGCGGGTGGGCTCACCCGGGGCCTCAGCGAGGTGGTTGGGAGCTCCTTGGCTTCAGTTCCTGCCGTTCTGCTCACAGGCAAGGCATCCCTGGGAAAGGCCTTGCTTGGGCAACTTTTCTAGGAGCATCTGCCTCTGGGTGTCTTATCTGGCCAGGCTTGGAGGCTGATTTTCAGGAGCACCCACTGAAACTGGGGGTTTGACTCCTCTGCCAATCAGCTCAAAAGCGCCTCTGAGTGAGAAACCCAAGATCAATAGGTCAGACCCCCAGCACACGCCAGTAGAGGGTCTGGGACACTTTTGGCAGGGGAAGTCCAGTAATAGGTGTTTGCCAGAACAACTTCAGTTTGCTAAGCAGCAACATTCCTACTACAAAAGACAAGCAACCATTTATCATCGTGTGGCTACAAACAAAAGGCAGAGGGATCATTAGCACTCATTCACTCCCAGCCCTGGCTGAGTAAAGGAGCGTAAGAAGCAATTTTACAGCCAGCCAGTGCTCCTCTCCATTTTGATTCCTGCCTGAACTAAGTCTCGAGCTT